CCTTACGATAATGACATTTTATACCTTATTTATACTATGACATTTTATGCCTTACTATACTATGACTTTTTATGCCTTACGATAATATGACATTTTATACCTTACTATACTATGACATTTTATGCCTTACTATACTATGACTTTTTATGCTTTACTTTACTATGACATTTTATGCCTTACGATAATATGACATTTTATGCCTTACTATACTATGACATTTTATGCCTTACTATACTATGACTTTTTATGCTTTACTTTACCATGACATTTTATGCCTTACTATAGAATGACATTTTATGCCTCATGATAATGACATTTTATACCTTACTATACTATGACATTTTATACCTTACTTTACTATGACATTTTATGCCTTACGATAATATGACATTTTATGCATTACTATACTATGACATTTTATGCCTTACTATACCATGACTTTTTATGCTTTACTTTATTATGACATTTTATGCCTTACTATACTATGACATTTTATGCCTTACTTTACTGACATTTTATGCCTTACTTTACTATGACATTTTATACCTTACTATACTATGACATTTTATGCCTTACTATACCATGACTTTGTATGCTTTACTTTACTATGACATTTTATGCCTTACTTTACTATGACATTTTATGCCTCACGATAATATGACATTTTATGCCTTAAAATACTATGACATTTTATGCCTTACTATACTATGACATTTTATGCCTTACGATAATATGACATTTTATACCTTACTATACTATGACATTTTATGCCTTACTATACTATGACTTTTTATGCTTTACTTTACTATGACTTTTAATGTGTTACGATGCGATGACCTTTAATGCTTATGATTTTTCTATGCCATATTATAGTATCCCTTTTCATGCCTTACTTTACTATGACTTTTAATGTCTTACGATACTCTGACTTTTTATGCCTATGACTTTTTTTTTGCCTTACTATAGTATGACTTTTTATGGCTTACTATATTATGCCTTTATGGTTTTCTTGTTTGGAGCATGCAATAGAATGCAGGCAATGCAAATAACATTCTACAGTCATATTCAAATGTTGTTAGCTGTAATGCACAAAATTCTGAACTCATCAAATGAATTGTCTGTGAAAACTTCAATTCACTGTCATCACATTGGACGGACACCAGCATCTCATGCATCTCAAAACCTGGTCAAATGAACTAAAACCTCCAGCATTTGCATGGCTACATTTCACACTAAATTTTTCATGGTTTGAGTGTCTGGCCTCAAGGAACAGGGTCACGGCACTGAGGAGCTCAACAGTGAAGGTGGACAGGCTCTAAATACATAGCTTTTAACTACACTCCTAGTGCTAAGAAATGAACCGACGGCCACTCTCTTCTCCAACCTTAAGGCCGTCTGGGCCTCTTGTACTTATCTATGTGTTACAAGGTATGCCCTGTATCCACTTACAATAGCATTCAACTTTCAGTTACCTCTCCCAGCCTACTTTCTGTGCTCCATGCTTTTCTCTTCTCTCCGCTCCACCATGTGAACTTATTAAGTCTCTCTCTCTCTCTCTCTCCAGGACTGAGGTTATATTACTTACTGCTTTATTACGCAACGCCCACCTCCGGACAAGCACTGAGCATATGGGAAATTATTGTAAATGCAAATTAACTTTTGCGTGGGATTGCTGTGGGCAACTGTGTGGGTGTGCAAAAGTGGGCGCACTGGTACGCACTTCTTTGTCTGCTCACATGGGTCAGTGTGTGTGTGTATGTGTATAAAACAATGTGTATGTGCAAATGTACTGTAAGTGTGTTGTCGGTCCATGGGCATACATCTGAGAATCAGATCTTTTTATTTATCTCATGCAGTCGCTGCAGCAATCCATACTTTTTATATTACAGTCTTATTGGAGTTGAGGATTGGAGTTTGAGACTTAATGAGTTTCATCTCTGAGCCATCGCTGGCTGCTGCTTTCTGAACCTCCCACGCAATCAAACATCACCTCCCTCAGATGCTGCTTAGCGGACCCCGGCTGAGTAGCATTTGAACTTCAGGAACACCGGACTTGGATAAATCATTATCGGAGGCTTATTGCAGATTGATGCTAGCTTGCATTCAAGATGTAATATGATGAAGAAAACACAAAAAAAGATTATTAACATGTCTTATTTTTGTCTTTTGAATAATACTCAGCTCTGGATAAATGTTAATGAATTCATTTAGATGGACAAACACAAAAAATTATTCAGATTACTGTATCAGACACATTAAATAAATAAAATCAAAAATATAGCTGTAGAAGAATATGTTGCTGGCTCTAATCTACATAATGTCAATGATGAAATCTTAACAGGCTTGACACTTGACTCCTGCCTACTGTAGGTCACAAGCCATCTCAGCATCTGTACACATGCTAAACCAACCAAAGAGCACGCCTAATCAGCTGCTATCTGCCTCCTATCCCTGTGTGGTGTGTTATAATAATTGCTCTTGGTTTGAGTTTGATGTCTTAGTATGCAAACAATATCCCACAGTAACCCTCCTCAGCAGCAAGGCAGGTTCTGTGTTAGCTGGTGTTTTATTAGGCTTCTCACGGTTCGAGCGTAAATCTTCAATCAGATTTGCCTGTTTATTCACTGTAAATGAGACTGGGACAGGGGGAGACGGGCAGGGATTCTTCCAAGAGACTGAAGGAAATCCGTGTTTCAAAATGCAAAAATATAGATTGGAATACCTGAAAAATCCATCACTTTATCCAAATCAAGCCAACACTCAAAAGCATTGTACGGCCTTTGGATAATTTGGAAGTTAAAGTACGCTACATGTGTAGATGTATTAATAATGGAAATAATGGTTACTTGCAGCCCTAATTTGTAGGTTCCAGCTGCTGTCCTCCATTTTATATCATCATATATCTGGTTTATCCCTATATCCCTATAAAATCAAATACGAAACTTTTGCATTTGAAAAACAAAGAACAAAAACTTGCTGAAAAAAAAAAAAAAAGAGTCAGAAATATAAGGGGAAGAAATGCCAGTGAGGTAGTGGAAGAGGCAAAAGGATACAAAGAGGCACATGGGAAAGCAGACGACACCTCTGTAAAGACATTAGTGATTCCCAGCTGTGTGTTGAGAGCCCTCTCTCCTTCTTGTCCTCCCTCTATCCCCCAGTCCCTCTGCTCTGTGTGAAGATTAAAGTGAGCAGCATAAAGGGGAGAGCGGTCCACCTCTAAGCTAGTGTGAAGGGGAAACTTCCCCCAGCACAAAAGTTCTGCTCTCCGCTCTTTGCCAAAGCGTGCCGCAACTCAAATCGGCTTTTAGAAATTAATCCCTGCATTATGGAGAGAGTAAAGTAAACAAACGGAGGACAGGATGGGGACCTGTGAGTGTGAGACAACTGGGGGGGGGGTTTGTAGGTGAAAGCTTGTGTTTCTCCAGAGAGAAGGAGATGCGAAGGCCATGTGTGCCTCTACATGTGTGAACAGTAGGGAGGAAAAGGGAGCTCAAGAGGTGACATGCGGGGTGGAAGAAAGAAATGAAGCAGCACAAGTCTGTGCAATCCTCTGGGACACTCCTGGGTGAAGAGCGTCACAGCCTTTTTGCTGCATGATCTCAAAGCCCTTTCTCTGTCTCTCATATGTCCAGCTTATTACTGGCTTTGTCTTTCCGTGGCTTCATTCAACCACTTTTTCCCCTGTGGCAAAGAGTCATTGTCTGCAAATCCTCCTCCTGCTGCCTCCTCTGCTTGCCGCTCTCCTTTTCCCATCCTATCTCTCCACTGAGAGGTACTTAGATAAGGCCCGGGGTTCAGTCTGACGAAATCAGAACTTCCCACTGAGCCGAGATTAAACTCTGAGTGACCGAATGGACAACTTCTCTCACTCTCCGTGGTTGGCTGGAAAAGAGTTTCCCTCTCTCTTTTTGACAGTTTAAACACTCGTCTGTCTGGCCGCCTCCCGAGACTCTCCATAAGTGCACTTTAAGTCTCTCCCAGCTTGTCTGCTTGTTGCCTCTCGCTGTCTCGCCATATATCTGCCGTCTATCATTGCTCTCCATCTCTCAACTTCTCTGTAGACTCTAAAGATCTTTCCAAATCTCTCCCTCTCCTCTGTCTCCTTCCACTTTGAAACTTTACAGCTCCACATGTCCATTACTCTTATACAAGTCCTCCTTCTTGTCCTCTGTTTTATACAGACATATCCTACTAGTCTATCTACCAGTGATCTGACCCCCCCTCCACCAATACCACCAGGCGGATCAACCAGCAGATAGATAATATAAAGGATTAAGCAGAGTGACATCCTGCTGTTTGTGTTTTTTTTTTAAAAATCCTCAATCCCTCTCAATGAAGCAGCCGAGCAGAATGACACTAAACTGACACCCAGCCTTTGACCTCGAAGCGTTAGCAGAGGGTTGAGCTTAAAGGGGAGTTTCTGCAGTCCCATACTGCCACTTGGTGGTGGATGTGAGAAGTCGATTAACTCAAATACTGCACAATATCTGAGGTATGTGTACTTCATTTAAAAACTGTTTTACATTTAACGATGCCTTATAACTCTACTCCACTACTTTTCATGGGGTTTTTTCTGCTACTTTGCATATTAAGATTTTATATACAAAACATATGATCATCTTATGATGATGGATTGCTGTAGACTGAATGATACTGGTATATACAGTAGTTAGCTCCACCTCAATCAGCTGCCGCAATAAAATACTGCTTATGTTAGTGCACCAGTAATGTCAATCCAATGATATAATCTATACAATAATACATTTGAAAGGGGCAGTATTAAAGTTTGCTGAAATATTTCTGAACTTCTACATTTTAAAAAGCTGAAACCAGAGATTTTTTTAATCTTGAAAAATGACTTCAATGACAAACATTAACTGCTTATTAAAATAGTTAGATTCATTTCTAAAGTCTTTATGCTGAACAGATCTAGTTAGATCGACTTTGGGAGGCACCATTTACATTTAGGACACTAAAGATTATAATACGATAGACAGAAATCATAGTGCAAATGAAGGTTTTATTGAAACTTCAAATTCAATTTCAAATTTACAATGAGTTTTTAAAAAAATTCATCTTTTAGTGCATCTTATTAGTTAAAGTAATCTACGGTTAAGAGCTGTTTCATAAGCAGCTTTTTTCTGTATCTTTCTTTAACCGTTCACTGTAATCATTCCTCTCTCTTTCACTTATGCTCTTGTCAACTCACTCTTCCCTTGTCCCAGATCTCTTACCCATCCTTTCCCTCTAATTGGTTCTCATTTCTACAGTTTAAATAAAAACAAAAAACAAGTTCAAAAAGTAATCATCATCCCTTTAAAAGCCTTTCTCACTGTGCATAGTGGTTACTTCCCTCCCCTCACTCCTTCCAGCTGAGCCCCAAGGTCTCAGCAATGAAGGAAAAGATGTGAGCATCCTCCAAGATGGCTTTGGCGGTGGGTTTCCCTGCACCGTGCCCACTACGGGTGTCCACCCTGACCATCAAGGGCTGGCGCTGCATGGGGCCGCTGCCCACGCCATGCTGCAGTGCAGCGCAGTACTTGAGGGTGTGCAGAGGCACCACGCGATCATCGTGATCTGCTGTCAGAAGCAGGACAGCAGGGTAGGGGGGGCCAGAGTAAGGTGGCCGAGGAAGATTATGAAGAGGAGAATACCTGAAGAGAGGGTGAGACACACCAGGTGGAGGGAAAAATGTGACAAAACACCAAAAATAGAGCTAAAGGTGAGTGAGTGACATACGAGTGAGGTGAACTTCAGGTGAACTGCAGCTCCGCACTGAAACCTGATGGACTACTTAATAAAATAATGCTTACTCACAGCAACCTGTGCTATTTTACTGTTTTCAAACAGTTATTTACTAAACTATCATTGCCTCCAGTCAGCGCTCCTGAACATGCTTTATGTGTTATTGATTCACATACTATGTTATTTGATCTCCCAGACTTGTTGAATTGGTCACAATGCCAAAATGAGGACTATAACTGGTCCAACAACTGTACTGCATTTCCGCCCGACAGACAGGATGGGAGCAGCAGATCAGGATTTGAGCGTAACTGTGATGTATTCTGGTAGAAAAGTGTATTTTAGTGATAGTGATTGTGATTGTGCTGTGTGTGATTGTGTTGTGATTGTGCGCGTGTTTCATACTTGATGAGCCACTGGAACTGCTCCGGCTCGTCTGAACAGCCGTAGTCGGTGGTCCAGGCGTGGCCGATGGTGAACTTGTGGAACTTCAGCATATCCATCACCCCCACCTCCGCCACAGCACAGCCATACAGGTCTGGACGCTGGTTCACGCAGGCCGCTGTGTATGTGTGTGTATTTATAATTTTTGTTACAGATTTAATTTGCTTATAGACGCACACACACATATACATCCTCTTTACTTCACACTGTAGGACACAATCACTCCTAAATGGCCACTTACACACCACAGAAGAAGACATTATTTGGGTTTGTGCGATGCCATATGGCAGTCGCTCTTTGGTAAATGATGTGACTAATCACTGTTTAATGTTCTGTTTAATTGCTTAATTAATTGAAGCTAAGCAGCTAACTGCTGTTAGAAGAATTTGACATTAGCAATTATAACAAAAATGCACTGTAAAGAATACAAAACATTGTGATCAATGCAGCTGGGACTTACAACACACCAGTAGTCTTAGCTTTGAGGTTGATGTGATTTTTTTTTTAGGGTGCAAAAACTTGGAGTGTGCTGTGCTGTTAGCAGCCTCATGGGTTAAACTGTGGGAGCTGAGCTGTTAAATTGGGAAGAAGTCGAGGTAAAGCTCCATGACGAGATTTCAGCTATAAAAAATAAAGTGCAGGGCTCACCCACACTCTCAGCTCCAGAGTGTAACAATGCATAATAGTTATATACCTTTGAAACCCTCACTTTCTCTTGCTCTCTCTCCCCCTCTGGCTTTATCGCTTCATTTCCCACTAAATAAAAACATACATAATGCACAAACACACACACACACACACACACACACACACACACACACACACACACACACACACACACACACACACACACACACACACACAAATGATCACGTACTAACCCACTAGCAGCCCTCCGTTAGAGGCTCCATTGATAGCGATGCGGCTGGCTGTGGTGTACTTTTCCTGGATCAGATACTCTGCTGCATACTGGAAGTCATCAAAGCAATTCTGCTTGTTCGCCAAAGTTCCAGCTACAAACACATGACACAGTGGAAGTTGAAAGTGTCAACCCAGAATTAAATAATAGAAAACTCTCTCCATTAACTCTATCGCTCTGACATGAGTAACTTAGATCTCCCTGGGTTTAGTTGTCCTATGCTTGTACCTTTGTGCCAGGTGAGGCCATACTCTCCGCCCCCTCTGATGTTGGCCACTGCCAGAATCCCTCCCAGGTGTCTCACATACAGCAGGTTCGCAACACTGAAAGAGGCAAAACAGACAGAGGCAAGAAAATAAGTACAAACAAGTATAAAGTGGAAAACACACTAGAAAAAGAAAATGATGCTCACACCATTGTCAAATTATGAAGAAATTATAGAAATGGATTTTTATGAATTGAAATGGTAAATGTAGCAGAAGTAATGCTTTCATTGAAAGAATACTTTTAAAATCACATCACTGCGTTATATTCACATTTTGATCACATAGGGTACACAAAGGTATACACGGCTCTTTTTCGGTGGGCATTGTGTACACACAATACAGTGTTTCTCAAGCACCACTGATGCATTTATTTGCATCAACAGCCAATCATTAACTGAGAAATCAGACACCAACTAGACCCTTGTGTTTTTATCCTTGTTTTGAAGTATCTGCCGACGGCTGCTTTGTTTACACCAGAGGCGAGAACAAGCCATCAGCTAACCCTCATGTGCTTTTCAATCAGAAATTTCTTATATAATCCTACTGGTGAGTGTTATTTCATACTGTAGGTGCATCTTTTGTGTTCAGTTTGTGAAGGTTCAGATAAAATAATGTTGTTTTTTTGTTGTTTTTTTTTAAGAACAGCTCTTTTACAGGGGCAGCTGTGGCTCAGGAGGTAGAGCGGGTCGTCCACTAATTAGAAGGTCGGTGTTTCAGTGTCTTGACCAAGGTTTGATCCCCATCCCGGAGAAGCCGGGGAATCGAACCTTGGTCAAGATACTGAACCTCACGTTGCCCCTGATGGCTCTTCCATCAGTGTATGTGTGTGCATATGAGTGTGATGTACGAATGTGTGAGTGAATAGGTGAATGTGGCAGGTATTGTCAAGCGCTTTGAGTGGTCAGTAAGACTAGAAAAGGTGCTCTATAAGTGCAAGTCCATTTACATTTTATAAAAACTGGTACAGGCACCTGCATTGTTCACACTGTTCTGGAGTTCTAGGGGCAAGATGACTTACCACCACATCTCTGACAGGTTGTAACTGATTACTGGTCATCTGTGTCTGCTCAGAAAAGTTGGTCGTTACAGTGGTTGAGAGATTCTGGATAGATCAGTTGTACTTACTTGTAATATGGTTGTATGGAGTGTTCAAAGCCTCCATATCCATAAAGGAAAACAGGATGAGTTCCATCCTTCTTCAGGCCCTTGGTGTGAACTAAAAACATGGGGATCTTGGTTCCATCTTTACTAGGGTAAAATACCTGAGAATATATTAGAGATTACGTTTAACAAAACACCTCTTATTGGGGCTTTCAGATAATGTGTGAATGTCTATATCTGATCTCTGTTTGTCTATGTTTCTAGTCTAAAATGAGCTGTTCGCACACACACTAGTCACCACTTCCCCAAACATAGTACATTCAGTTCTGGGAAATTGCCATCATTATATGAATATGCAAAGAGTAGATGTGGTAACACGACATAAACACAAATAAACTGGAAAATAACACTAAAGAAAGAGTAATGGGGAAGTGTGAGCACAGAGACATGGTGTCTGCTCTACAGAAATAAGTAAAGGAGATAAAATGACCTGGGTGGTCTGGTAGTCCTCTTGCCTGATGCCTTTTACCTCCACCTCCCTGAACACTTTGGGCTCTGGGTTCGACACACTCAGATCACAGTGGTAAATGATACCTTGGTGCCAAAGAACAAAGGCCACACAGGTTAGAGGCTACTGCAAGTTTAACTCGACAACAGGTACATTTTTATAACTGGTTGCTCACATTTAGTGAAAAACTTTCAACATTCAGCATATTTTTTTCCCTGACATTTACTGTAAAATTTAAAGGCAGTATAAGTAGTAAAAGATGTCATTACAATAGCAATGCAGCACTTTCAGAGAAAAAAAAGCCTTATCAAAACATATATTCACTAGATTGATCAAAAATAAAAGTACCATGAGCTGCAACCCTAATTATTTTAATGTACTTTAAAGAGATTCTGCATCCATCGATGGTCATTGTTTTTGTTGTTCTTTTTTCATATTGGAATAACATTTTGCAGCATTAAATTACTAATATGATACAATTAAATATAACGTATCAAATGGCTGAGTTACCTGGTGTAGTGAAGGAGGTGAACTTGTAGAAGAATTCAGAGTGTTTCTTCTTGCAGCTCACACCGGCCACTGTGCCAACGTCCAGTGGCAAGTCCCTGACCAGCCGGCCTGTGGACAACTCATACACCTGCAGGATGTCCTTCACGTCATGGACGTAGTTGACCAGCAGGTGGTGCTGGTTGAGACAGGAGACAAAGCCTGCAGAGGGATACAAAGAGGAAGTGGTAAAACAGTGAACATGACAGTATGTAGCTGTTTTTGTTGAAAACTGAGGGAGACTGTTTTTCATTGTCTGTCTTCATTTATAGCACATAAAATATAGTACATGCTACCAATTTATCTTGTTGAGTTATCTCATGAACCAGTAACTGCACATGACCTTATCGATTAGTTTGTTTAATTTAAATGTTACTGTACATATGCAGTAAAGAATTAATACAGATATAGACCGTGAATCCTTTTACTGGTGGCCTTTTCTCATCAACAGCCAGCAGAGGGCAGACTAATATACAGTCAGCTCGATACTGTATGCTGTAAATGTAGGACGTTTGATCAGTAGATGGCAGTGGTGCTACAGAAGCTGTCTTCTCTTGGTTACTGTGTTTATTAAACACAGCAACCAGCATTCAATATAAGGCATTTTTCTTTGAGTGTCCTCAGTGTCAAAACAAGGACATCACAGGGTAAACCGATGAATATGTGACTTCATGCTTCACATCAATGATGTCATATTGAACACTCTGATGCCCATAACCACCAACAAGAGGACTCAAACGGTTGTTGGGCATATCACTGAACTTATGTTGGAGCTGGGTCCAAGACAGTCTCATTATAGAGGAGACAAGACAATCTTGTCAGCTTATAAAAAAGGGCTGGAGATGGTGCCACTCACTGGCCATGCAGCATCTGCAGAAATGATTTATATTCATTCATACAAAATACAGGAGCTCTATTCAAAAGCCATGGAAGAGCATGATATTATCAGATGTTAAGTGTCAACTCCCTACTGTGGATTTCATGCATATGTGGCACATAGGATAGTTATTTAATATTATTTATTAATTTAATTGCCCACTCATTAATGTGTGTTGTTTATATGTATATATGTTTTATATTTTTACAGACACCCCCTGTTAAAATTTTAAACATTCGTATTCCAGGCACGAGACCACCTGTGAGGCGATATAAGCTGTGGGCGAGCTGCGATCTTCAGTTGGCAGTTAACGTTTTTAAGTAAAGCAACTGAAGACCAGCTCACCCAGTGCTTTCTGTTTTGTGTATTGTTATGTGCTTTCGATAATTTTGCTTATATATTACATGTATAACTGTCGGTATTGGCTTAGTGTTTCTAACGGAAGCGAGTGAGAGATGAAGTTTGCCCTCCTCCACTGGTAGATGTGTGTGTGAAAGTTAATGCTACAGTGTTTTGTGGTTTATATTTAGTATATTTTGTCATTAGGTCCCAATAGTTTTGTTAATTTGTTATTTTATAACTGGGCAGTTAGTTAACGGCATACAACAACTACAGCGCGAGCCGCAGCTGATTAACAGCACATTGCAGTTTACCGTTGGTAGGCAACCAGAACGCCCTCAGGCTGCGGTGCTGCAGAAATAGGAAGAGGGAGATTTTCTTATAGATACATTGTAAATATGATTGTTTTGTGATTTAATATATAAAGGGGAATAAGATAACTGTTTATATAGGGAAAGATAATAATTATAAATAGTAAAATGATATAGAATTAACATTGTAAATATCTGGTGAATAGTTTTATTGCATTTTTGAAATAGAGTAATTTTGATATTGTTATTTGTCCTCACAGGCACTCATTTTTTTAAAGTATGTCACCCCAGGAGTACGCAACTTCATGGGCGTAACACATACAGTGAATGTTTGATTCCATGGCAACAACTGTATGTTGCTGTTATACCCAGATGAGACATGCAGGCACACATCTGGAAGTGCAAAACTTGTCTGAAAATGTTATTAAACATTATTAATTAAAAAAATATATACAAAATATGAAATAACACAAGATCATTAACTTTAACTAATAAAGCAATATAAACATTAGCATAATCATTCGGTAACACATTATTAATTTGCCCTATTTAGCATTTATGAGTACAATGTACAGTAAACATTTAATTAATTGTTTATAACACACTCCAATGTAGTTCCACGCAGCTATAAAAACATTTTCAAGTGCTTATTAAATTACAATATTTGTCAGCAATGATAATTTCTTCACTCCACTGAAGAGTGCTCACACGAGGAGTTTTAGTGTGGAGACAAATACATCAATAGATGCCTAAATCTGCTTACTACACACATATACTGCATATTACTACATTATAGTGTGTTAGAAAGCATTTATTAAATATTTATATCTTTATTGTAAATGCTAAATAGGGGGACTTCAAATAAAGCTTTGTCCATTTATTCAAATGATTTTCCTTAATATATATATTATATATTGTACTGACGTGTTTGTGTGTGTCTATATTTCCTACAGGAACCGTGAATATTCACTTCTGTATGTTTCATTGATCTTCAGGGACAGTTACCATCACTTGAATGACTCATAGCAAAAAAAAAAAAAAGAACAAAGTGCTTATGGACCAAATTTCACTTTTTGAGCAGAGTTCCCCCTGACGAAGGTCTTCAACCACAGAAAGAGAACTCCCAGTTGCGGTGGCTGAAATGTCATTGGGACAGAATTCAATGAAACAACGTTTTGCAAGATTTCGAGGGCATGATAGTGGAACTATGATTCCATGTATGAGCCCTTTACGCATTTCTAAAGCTTGGTGGAGTTTTCACACACTCCAGCACAAGCCCACAGCTGTCATGCCAACAAAGGTCTGTTTTACAAACCAACCACATAACTGCTCTATTAACTCTCAGACATATTACATTTCCTCTGTAGTGAACTGGTACTGTATAGGTCGACCACATAGCCGACTTTGTCTTCTACCTTATATTCTAATGAAATTTCCCTTTAGTCTCACCTAGGACATCCTTGTTGTGCTGTGGTAAGAGGGTCATCCAGTGCTGCCTGTCTGGTTTCTGGATGTCTATGTTGATGAGACAGTATCGAGGAGCATCCAAGTTGGAGTGGAAGGTGAATACAGTTCCCTCGTTGGTGATGTAGGAGTACTGGGCCTCAAAGTTGTCCACAAGTTTAACCCATGGTAGCAGCCCTGGAGGAGAGGAGGGAATAAAATATAATATATATATATAATACAGAACGTTTTTTTCTCTATAACACTGACCACTGGGAATTCCAATTCTTTATGACATTTCACTTTGTATTTAATAACCAATTTCACAACACTCTTGCACTGAAAGTTTCAAAATTCCTGTTTGTGAGAGAGATATTTTTCACACCAGAAGACAAACCAAAATGAATTTTGAAATCTCCACATCTTGTGAAGTAACCGTTGAGTCACTGCCAGTGGTTTCAACTCCTCGTCTGCTGATACAACACAGTCAAGTGTATTACGCAGAGATACAATCTATTGCCGTTTGAAAATCAATTAATGGTTTTCAATGAAACCATTTTTGATAAAGAAATCAAATACATTTGTACTATTGTACTACTATGTACTACTGAAAATAGATACAAAGAAGGAAAACAATATCAAAGTTACAGGTCATGTTCTTTTCATGCTGCAGCTCCTGTGCCACTAATAATTGCTATTAAAACAGTCAGAATTCACTAAGTTGATAACTGATTTCAAGGAACATTCATTTCAAGCTTTTCAAACAACAGGACTTGCTGTATTTCTTTGACATACACTATTTTGAACTGAATATTTGTTGAACAAAACAAGATGTGAAGACATCAACTTGCAATCTGAGAAGCTGGGGCGGGGTGTGATTTATCCAAAAAAAATGGCCAGTTAAGTCAATACAAAAAAATAATTCCATCATTTGCAGAAGAAAATCCTTCAAAATGAAGAGAAATTTATGTCAATAAGGTATGTATTTTTTAATCCCTCTGGGCTCCCATGCTTGTGGATTTACACTTTGAAAATCTAATTTAATTATAGTTTTTCTAGTTACATCAGCTTAACATCATTTTACCAGGGCACAGAACAAATAAGCCAAAGTAGACCTAGTTTCATTCTGTACATGTGATCCTACTTCCTAAAAAACCACAAGAACTGTTTCTAGCTGTGTTTATGGAGTGCTTAGATCACAGCACATGTAAGGTGGACACAAGAACACAGACAGACCTGTGATGCCACTGGGGAGCTGCTGCAGGTCACAGTACCACAGCTGGTTGACCGGCTCACAACCTTCAGTGATGGACAGAATGGCATATCGACCATCGTCTGATATCTGGGAAGAGGAGGGAATCAAAATGAGTCGGAAAGTTAAGCTCTGACGAAGCTTTAAATGATCTTGATCATAATATTAAGTGATTTGAGATCATTAAAGACTTACAGTTACTGAGCTGTGCCACTTTGGATGGTCGGGGAACTCAGCAACCAGAATGTCTTCTGACTGCTTGGTGCCGATGACGTGGTAGTAGAGCTTCTGATTGATGTTGCAGGTGGTTTCAGTGCCTTAAGTGAAATACAGAAGGGTTAAATCTTGAATATATTTGTATTAGTCTTTGTGTGGTGAATGGTTGCATTGGTGTCTCTTCCTAACCATCTGTTTTGCCCTCCTGGCGTGGGTAGCAGTTGTAAAAGACGCCCTTTGCATCATGAGTCCAGGCCAGACAGCTGAACTTAACCCTCTCCAGTACATCAGGCAGTGGGCTGAGGTCATCAGCCTTCATGAAACGCACTGTCACCCAGTCTGAGCCACTGCTGCTCAGACCATATGCAAAATATTCACACTCCTCCGACAGACGGCCCACTGGATGGAGAGAAGGACAAAAGAAAGAGGGAAGTCATCAGCACTGTAAATCTCTTTCTATTCACCTGTGTATATGTGTGTTTCTGCACAATACAAGTGTGACTCACTCTTCAGTGCCACAGTGCCATCTTCAGAGAGTTTGTTCGGGTCAAAGAAGATGGTGGCAGGTGCATCCAGAGAGTCCTGCACATACAGCACATCCTGGTTCTGGAGGCCTTTGTTGTGAAAGTAGAAATACCTGAAAAATAAAACAGGAAATAAAGTCAATTTCAGACCTGACCTTTAGGTAAATCCTGCGCATAAGTGTAGTTGTTTTTAAATCTGTGCAGTGCCCATCCTTTAAATTTTAACTAGTACCTCTTCCCTCTTTTGTAAGGGCAGCTGTATTTAGGATAGTCATAGAGGTCAGTGAGGCGCTGGTGGAACTGAGCCCGGACAGCACATTGCTCCAGGTACGGCATAGTCACTTTGTTCTGCTCTTCAACAAAGGCCTGAAATAAAAAGGGAGAGTGAGGAGGGATGAAATTAGGAGTGCTTTCATCAAGAGGCAGCTTCAGCGTTCTGCAGGAGATGATCGCATACCATCGTTTCTGCACTGTCAGGGTCCTCCAGCCATGCATAGGGATCACTGATCTTCGTTCCATGGTAGTCATCCACCTGTTGATAAGACGTTCAAGTTAAACAGGAACAGGACTTTGATCGTTGGCTGTTCTAGACAGATTCTTGATTCTTTTTCAATAGCGTTTGTAGCTTCCCTGCAGAAACAGTTTGTGTGGAAATGAGCATCTGCATTTTATCTGTCAACCGTGGCATAAATATCTGGCTCGTCACTTTGTCCTTTGTCAGTGCTGGCTTGGTGTTTTGCTTTTGAAACACCAACTGTTATGCATCAGTTGATATTGACATACTAAACAAACATTAGTCTTTTTTTTTTCTAAGTGCAGGCAGCTGCCCAACTCATGTGACTTGCAGTGAAAGAGGCAGATTCCTGTGCGGATGAATGAGAAAATTTGAATGATTTTGCCAAGAGCTGTAGCCCATTTCCTGAGAATCAGCTCATCAGTATTCCTGAGAATTAAACTCAGCTTGGCATCAATTAAAGAAAACACAATCAATGTGAAAAGTGGGCATGCACAAGTTTTGTTAAGCAAGTTGAGACTAGACCTTTTTTTTTTTTATCGATATGGGCATGTCACTTTATTTCATTGGACCTGCAGCTTTCAACATGACTATCAAGGCAGGACCCATCTGATATTGGATGGGTACACAGTATTGCTAAATAGCCCAGTTGATGATTTGAAGTGCAGATAAAGAGAAGATGGATCTGTGCATCTCAAACCCTGAGAAGATGGCAGCCCTGTAGGGGGAAAAATCTCTGCAGAGAATGTTTCACACTCCTACGTGTTCATTCCCAAGAAATTAGGGAGCATTTGCCCAAACCTAAACTTACATGTTCTCAAATGTCATACCGCATAACAACTATCATACATTCCACACTGGTATAGTGTTTAGAGAAAAATATGTCTTACCCAGATAAAGAGCTGATTGATTGTCACATCACAATGGTAAGTGAAGACTCACACATTTCTGACAGCACCTCACACCTCAGGGCCTTCCAACGCACTACAGCATGCCGCAGCTAAGTCAGCAGACACTGTATATGTGAGTTTGTGAGTTGATTGTGTCTCCTTTCAGTGCCCACTCAGATATTATGTTGCAGGGTTTGACACATGAGACACATGGTTTGGATCATGTTTGTTATTCTACTCATGTATTCATTCATACCTCAGCGTGGGAGGGGACATGATGAGCTGATCTTTTCTAAGGTTAGAGAATTTCTAAATGTAACATGTAGCATTTTTCTTCTTCTGTGAACATTTTAAAAGTAAATGAAGCTTTATTTTTTCCATCTAATGCTTAACAAATCAGTCTGTAACTATAACCAAGACACTGAGGCCATGTCCTCTATATTTTTTCTGGGAATTTGCACCATCTAATCACCTTAGGAGGAGTTTAGATTCTAAATCTATAATAACTCTGACCTGACATGGAGTGGAGTTCAAGGGCTCATTCTGATACATTTACAGTTTTAGGCAAAGAAGATTATTAATCATTAATTTGTTAAATTAGAGTGGAAATTACTAGTCAATCGATAAGTTGATTGACAGAAAATTGACTGGCAGCAATTTTATTTGTTATTTACGTGTCATTTTTAAGCAAAATGCCTAATACACTGTGGCTTCTTGTCAAATGTGAATATTTTATGCTTTTCGTAGTTGCCTATAATAGTAAACTGAATATCTTTGGGGTGAGGACAATTCATATGACAAAACAAGCAATTAAATGAGTTTGGACTTTGCAAAATTGTGATGGACATTTCTGCACTATTGTCAGGCATTTTATGGGAACGACTGATAAAATAATTGGCAGATTAACCAAAAATGAAATCATCCTTAGCAGCGGATAAATTGTGTTAAGGGTTAGGATTCAAACAATTATTACTCTACTACTCATTTCATCTCTATAAAAAGAGACGCGTCTCTACAAGAATTATATCACTGGGCGTGTGGTGAAGGAAACACGTTTTATACCATCATGCATCAGGCAGGAAATTAGCATAAAACATAAATTATTAGCTGGATGGATAAATACATTTTTTGTGCCTAATCTATAATTTCTTTAGTGGGTGTGGATATGATCAAAATCAAAGATAAGGCCCTACACACACCCCACCTAAACAGGGTAGTCATAAAGGATCATAAAACAAAGCTAACTGTCAACCAAACAAGTCAGCGTGAAGTAGCTGCTGATTCACGGTGACGTCGTTTCGTGGGGTGTTGGTTTTACTTCACCTGGACTGCACGACAATTGCGTGGAAACGCAACACGTGCTCAAATAGCCACTTCGTGTGTGTTACACCACTTCAACGACTTTCTTTCAGTTGGCCTTATAAGTTTGGTTTTTGTTCCGTCATTCTATCGCCATTCGCCTCTGTAACCATACACCCATATAAGTCGCCTTTCTCTTCCTGGTCTCGCTTTTTCTGCTTGTGAATTTCACCGACAAAAAAGGGAGATAAGAAAAAAAAAAGCTCACGGCAGGACTTTTGACACTGACCTTACTCTCATCTCTTCGAGCAGCCGGGTACTTAAACGCCATTGTGGGGGTTCCTATAGTGCTCCTCTGTTTAGCCTTTCTCTTACTAATTTGTTTTTTCTTTTTTTATCGTTCTGAGTGCAGCGCCTCCAGTGAATCAATGGGACCTCGAAGTGAAAGTGAAATTATTCCCCTCCACACACACACACACACAGAAGTCTGTACGAACCGCCTGCGTTGGTTCTGCAAACAGGAAATGATGTGGCATTCAGGGCACGGCCGTAGTACGTGCTTCTGAGCATTTGTGAAATTAAAACGACACTTTTTACACAATTTAAAATCTCCCCCACCAAAACATTACATGTGACAAAATAGTACGTGCCTGCAGGCACAAGTGTCTTAATGGGAATTTGTAGATAAAATGTGACATTGTGGTGAGGGACTCAAAGCCTTGAACTTGTTATTAAAGGGGCAAAATAAAGAGGACGTGTTTGCAGGGAGACTGAAGAGCAGATGAAGCAAAGAGAAGTTGCGCATTGATACTGAGAACTGCAGGCTTGTGGAGACGGTATACGCACTGAAACACTGTAATGATAATGATAAAAAGCAGTGCTTAGAGAGATAGATTAGATATGATCATCCCCAACAGCTACATGGTGTCACAGGCCTTTCAAAACCTGCAAACTGAAACTAACCATTACTGTCATTACTGGTTTGAATCTTTTCATTATTATTTATGATTAATACGTAAATAATTTAGTCAATAAAATTACTAAATGAATCACATTAGTCCAAAAGATACTTAATTAACAATAATGTAAAACAGAGAAAAGTAGTAAATTTTCACAAAGGTAAAGCTATAGTGTTTTTTCAATTGACCACAATGATTTATTGATTATCCAAATTGTTGATTATTTTCAGTCAATTGACCAATCAGTTCTAAAGCTTTCATATAAGGCATTTCTTATCATTCCTTTAGAGTGAACAGAGTGGTAGTATTTTTTTCCATTTAGAAGTGATTAAAAATAGTAAGCTCACAATCCCATTATTCATTGTTCTATCTTCTCCACTTTCCTTTTTTCTTGGTGGGAAGTTGCATTTCTTACAGTAAATGAACCATTAATAGTTCAGTCATCTGACAAGAAAATTACGGGCCTGCAAGTGTCAACAGCAACACCTGCATTATGTAATTGGTAGTCACACAATGACACAAACAAAACCGAAACCACAAGCATATGATGCACCTGGGTTGTGAAACAAATACAATTTTCAGCCCCAAACCAGAGAAACAAGATAATAACAATTTAATTGAAAATAAAAACAAGTTCTACAGATATGAGTCTTTCACTTTCCGACACTACAACGTCACAACTATAAATAGTTCCCTATCTCTTTGAAAGGTTTGGTTTTGACATATTTTTGCCTCACTTTTTCCCTAAGAGACACAGTGCTGTTTTAGTCAGTCAAGACGTTCATAATTAGGTCCATTAACCCCCGTCATTTCATCACTTCTATTTGTTGTGTTAGGAATTTACATGTAACAGATTTAAAACTGTTGAGACATCGTACCTCCTGGATTAACGACCCCCACCCCACCCCCCACCTCCAAAATGGAAGGACTGGAGCTGAGACAGAGAGAAGGAAGAAAAACAGAGTTTCAGACGTGTAATCTGTCTAATCCACAAAGCTGTGAAAACGACTGAGGAGGAAAGGAGGGAGGAGAGGAGGGGAAAGATGGAGGGCAGGGAGTTAGAAAGAGGGCTAATTTCAAACTAATTTAGTTAAGGTGATTAAGTGAGACTGGCTTGATGAGAAAATAAGCTGTTAGAAGGCCTCTGACCTTGTTTCAGTGTATTTACCTCTGTCTCAGTGTATGTGTATATAATGATTTCACAGAAACCAGAAACAATAAAAAGACAAAAACAAAGCTGATAGGTTTTCTATTATAAATTCTATATCTATTAAAAAATAAGAAAATATAAGCAATTATTATATTGTGTCACTATTAACAAAAAGGAAAGCCAAATTGCGTCAGTATTCATCATAAAAACACAAGATGATTCATGAGACACTCACTATCTGATGGTTAAAATGCTGACAGTAAAATACATATTTAGTATAGCCACACCTAATTCATGTTATCATAAATTATGATTAAATCTTATGATTAAATTTCTGAATGATATTCTGGGTTTACATGTATATCTGTGTGTATATTGTCTGTTTTCTGTGCTACATCTAAAAATTCTGCATATTAATACATTTCATATTATCTTACGTTGTGGTAAAGCAGCCCACTCTGAATTGCAGAAGGGATAATTATAAAAAGGCAACAGTCGGTGCTAAAGTAGCCAATTTAGCCCAAGCTTTGGCGATTACCTAACAACTGTATGGCAACAAGTGCTTTAATTGGCAGTAAAGTCTACGGAGGGATCCCTAATCTAGGGGGCCGTTGGGGATGAAAGTGGACCAGGCCAAGCCAAAGGCAGATGGGCTGTTACAGCAGATATTTGGGGCCCCAGACAGCCTGAGCCATCGCTGAGCCGTGCAGCAGTCCGACTGGGCTGGCTAGGCCACTATACGGAGGCCAGCTTCAGCCTGGTCTGCATGGCGTGCTGTGCAGATGGGCCCTAATTGGCTGGAGAGACCCAGGTAGTTTGCCAATCTGCGAAGACAGAGAGATTAGATTAGCCATGTCAGATTACAGCAGAGCAGAGTCAGACAGTGTCATCTGACTGCTATGAAAAGCTCCAGACTCACCCACTGAGAGAGAGAGAGAGAGAGAGAGAGAGAGAGAGAGAGAGAGGGACAGAGGAGAGGAGGAGGGAGGGGCTGAGCTGTTGATGTTGTGAGGAGGAAAACAGACAGGGTGATGAAAAGTGTGTTAATGAAGGTGTGTAAATTAAAGGAAAGCAATGGGAGAAGAACTTTTTTAAGAAAAAAATTATTATGAATAACAATAATAATAATAATAATAAGAAGAAGAAGATGTGCCTGGAAGTGAAAAGAAAATATATAATGGGCAGAAGAAATTCAGTAGGCCTGTAGGCTTGTATGTATGTAAACATAAACAGATAAAAACATACACACACAAGTGAACAACATTACTCACTCCTATAGCCCTGCTCCTCAACAGATGGTGCAGAGTGCAGCCACTGAAACAGATAATCCGTTATTGTTCTGAATATTTTGATTATTGTCCTGGTTGTCATTTCAAAATCATACACAAATCACCTCCTAACCTTAGCTTGATTCTGGGCTTACCGCTGCTCCGAAGCTAATATCGTTGGCTCAGCGCCCAAAGCCGTATTGTAATATAACTGAGAGTGCTATTCCATAAGCTTCTCATTTTAGAAATTGATGATGTAGAGATTTGTTCTCTGTATGGAGAGAGCACAAAGAGAGGCTAGGGGGGCGGGGGGAGATTTGAAGAAGGTGTTTACAATTGCTGGCTTGTGTTGCTGCCTTCAAGTTGGATTTAATCCATAGACGCACAAAATGTTGTTTTTTGTTCATGATTCCACTGCGAAATATATCCGTCATTCCAAGTGGCATCGTTGTTTGGCACCATTTTTGTAAAATTTTTGGTTTTATTTATGAATTTCACTTTTATAATTTTTCTTTTTTTTTCATTTCTCAGTCCTCATTTTTTTCACCTAAAAAACAATTATTTTCATATGTCTTCTAAAACCGACATACCCCAACCTCTTTTTATTTCAATTAAACCCATAAGCAGTGCAGCCCGACCTTAAATTAGTGATAATCAATGAAGACCATGGTGGTAGTTGAGGCCTGATGCCAAGTATTGATCTGTGGTTAATGTTTTTGTTCTGCGGTACGCATGACACCCCAGGGACAATAAAAGACCAGTGAGATTAAGACAATTAGGGGGTTGATTGTTATCCAAAAGACGAGAAGAAGAAGAAGATTAAATGAGGAGATTTAGGTCAAAGTGGTGATGTCCAGAGGAGGGAAGGAGGAGGGGCAGGGTAAAAGGAGGAGGGCAAAGAAAAGGTGGGAGGAGGAGGAGGAAGGATTGGGGTCAGAGAAACTGATCGCTGGTAGTGTGAGAGGTTGCCCTGGCCTAGGGAAGAGAGTGATAGAAGGAGGGAGGAAGAGAGGGCCTGATTCCAGGCATGACTACATTGGATTAACCTGGAGAGCAAGGTGGGGTGTCACCTAGTATACTTCACCTGATTTCCACATTGGGCACACCTGTCTGGAGATTTTCCTTATCTGTCTAGACTTCTGAATCAGCATGGCTGCTGTGAAGTTTTTCTTTTCTGCCTTCTCTCTCTGTCTCACTCTCATCCTGTTGCCCCTGCTGCCCCTCCCTCCTCCTTATCTAGCCAGCCTAATTAGCAGACATTTTTATTGATCCGCTGGATTTGGTGCTGAAATCCCCTTCTCTGTCTGCCAGACAGATCTTGGACTAAAGTCTTTCTCTTTAGCTGTTGGTCTGTGAGGTTGGGGAGGGGGCAGCAGCACATGGGCCCACCTGTTGACCACAAGCCAAAAGCGTGCACGACTTTGCTATACCCATACATCACCCATTTCTTATTCCTATTCTCCGCATCACAACCTCTTTAAGTCTTAAGGACCTCATGTGATCTGGACCTGCTAGTTATTAATTGCCTGTGTTGGGGGGATGACTAGATTTAGCAATAATTAGGGTTTTAAGGCTGGTGGACTCTCATTAGTTCAGGAAGTAGGGGATTGAGATAAACACCCCCTGATAATTAAGTGGTAGGGAAAGATTATAAACTACCAATTAGCTGCCACACAGTAGCTAATAAACTAACATCTGCTGGCACTTGTTGTGTTTGTAAGCTGTTGTTCCTGTTGTTCACAGTGTTATGCAATATGGGATCATTGCATGACATCGCTGGTAAAGTACTTCAGTATAATTTTAAGGTACTTCTACTTTATTTCCCTCTAATTTCCAATTCATGCTACTTTATTCTTCTGCTCCACCAGAGTCAGAGGGAAAATATAGTACTCCACTCAACTGCATTTATTTGATAAGTGTTAGATTAAGATTTTACATGTTTTACATAAAACGGGACTACTTTACTGTAAGTACCTTACTTTTCTGTAAGTAATTCAAACTAACTTTACCTCCATCAGCAACAACAGTAAAATGATGCATCAGTGTTAACAATCTCACAATTTCATACTAATATATGACTTTTGATACTTTAAGCACATA